GAAATATTCACAGACCTAATAGCCCGGGTTAGTGTCCTAAACAATAATAAAAATAACTTAGTTTGCGTAATTACTATAAAAGCAATACATTGCAAAGTTGAAATACTTAGAGCCCGTGCAATACTGTAAACATATTTGCGTTATTAGAAAAGCAGCACACTAAGTAAACGATGTGGAAATATTCAAAGCCAATACAGAGTTGGATACAAGTTGTGTTATTACAGTACTGCAGGATATAATAACAAATTTACGAGATCGAAGCGCGGACCAAGAAAGAAAAGGGTTGCTAAGGCAACGCGCCAGTTCAGTGCGTGACTTGGGGTCAAACTTCGGTCAACACACACTTGATGTCAGCATCGCCGCGTAGCAAGTTTTGCAACGTATTTGAAGTTCAATTGTGCCCCAAAATGATGTCGACGATCATTCAATTGTCGCAGCGCATGTTGTACCAAGTCCATGATACACCCTGTTTCGACTTTGGCTTGCTTTTCCTTCTTAGTGCATAATCTTGTTCACGTAAATGCGACCTCTCACCAATGTATTAAAACACTTTGAGAATTTATACTTATGCGTGATTATATTTGGTCTACGCGAAATATTGATCTTTCTAAACATTTTCTGAGACCATGCATGATATATATTCACAAAATAATGCGATCATATTTTATATTATGTTGATCTCTACGTCTTTCTGAGCCGTTTTGTGATTTTATTCCAAGGCTCAGGCAAATAAAATAATGTCAACTATTATAGACTAGTTTCCTAGCTTTTGGCTCAGCCAAATTGGTTTAATTTTTCATTAGAACTTTGTGATCCTTTCAATTTCCCAGTTCTTTGTGTTCATTAATGGTTTTGACAATAAGTGTGAATTGCTGTGCGAGCCCACCGCGGAAGACCGCATTCAGTCGGCGTAATGGAATCTATGCATAAATTTGCATATAATGCGGTCGACCGGCGAGCACCCACCACCACCGCGGTAATGACCGCGGTGCATCGCCCGTTTGATTTCCTACTCTCCCCTTAATTACCTATCTTCTGTCATTGTTTTATCACATTCAATATTAAACTGCCATCTTTCAAGCACTTCATTGGTATCAATATCAGTTACCACTAATACTAATTTTTGAACTGTCTTTCCGAGTAACCAATCTGAAAGGAAAAGATAATAAATTAGGCCCAGAAAAAAAGAAAACGGTTTTGGATTAAGTTGTGTTCCAAATTCAATGCGCACCGGCAATGTAAACAATCTTAAAAATATTGATTAACAATGGTTAAGGCATTGTTTGTTTCGCATAGTTTTGAGAAAGCCAACCATCCGTGGGAATCTGAGAATCCTGAGAATCTGTGTGTTATGCATGAAGATGGTGAGAGTCAACTGATGTGGAGGACAGACTAACAAGGGTGTTTGTGTCAGAGCACAGAAGATCAATTGCCCAACGCGAAGGTGAATGTTCTGCTTGCGCGAGGACACATATGTTCAGCAAAACAGAGGTGGACATACAGTTTCTGAGGGTCTCTAAAACTGTATGTCCACCTAGAGTGAACATTTGTATTATTACAATGTATCCTTATAGACAAGTTGAATAAATTCCAGAGCAGTGATTTAATTTTATCAAGTTTTATCGTGGATGGCTTAACCGAGTTTCAGCCTGATGAAGAATTAATTTTTACAAATATACCCGTTGCTACCCTGTATGCTCTCTGGGAAACTGAATGGGGCAGTCACACTTTCATTGCGTTGGCGACTAACAGTTGATATAGCATTTTGGGAAAACATAGAACAGTCATTCATTGGTAGCGTAGATTCGCAGCAAGCCTTATTCATCAGCCATCAACATCATGAACACCCAATGACTGTAGATGCCAAATCTTTGCAGCAGATGTTAGTGGAAAGTTTCTAAATAGTGGGACAGTAGTCGGGTACCCAGGATCATATTGCAAGGAACCCATATGAATTTCACTGCTTGGACTTGTACAGTCCAAGCCAGACCTTTGCAGAGTCAAAAACATGATTGTCGAATAAGTTTCATGAATGGCAGCACAAAAGATTGGCACTAAAACACGCCATGAGATCACATTCCTACCTCGTAATTGTTTGAGTACGCCTGATAAATAGGTATTCAACAGTTCATCAGTTGTTACTAGCACTGTTAACCCATACTTGGATTCTCTGGTGAAAGTTTCTGCCGGGTAAATACCTCGCTGATACAGTATACTATTAATCCCATATTCTGAAGAAAGACAACATAAATGTTACTGTAAAAGACTTTATTTTAGCTGGAATTTATTTTCGCTGAAAAGACTTTTCGGGTCTTTTTGTATGGAATTTATTTTCACTGATTTTTTAGTTGAATGTAAAATGCAGGAAAAAAGGTATATTCGTTGGATTTTATTTTCATTGAATCATTCCTTCAGCGAAAATAGCAAAAATTACTGGTAATACCAAGCAAAAATAAAGTATTTTACAGTAGTTTTTAAAATACGGGGAGTCCAAGCACAGAAATATGAACACAAATAAATAATAACATTACTCAATACATGTAGGACATAGATAAGTTTATAAGATCTACAAAGTTTTTTGTGATTTCTACAAGTCAATTTAAGCTATTCTATGAGTCAATTTCGAGCCCTGGAAGTACATTTGAAAGCAGAAAACATTATATGTTTGAATGTTATACAACCGTAAATTGATAGCTGCTTTATGATCTATTTTTTTTTTTAATCATCTATATGACCATATAAGTGTACACCTCTAATAGAGTAAATATTACACAAATAGTATTTGTTTTTAACAGTACAGAATAGCAGAGGATTTTACTCTACACTAATCATATACATTGAAAGTATCATGGTGATAATCAGACATTAATGTTTACAAACCATGTCAGTCAGATACACAAGATAATAAATAAATAAATAAATGACAGGCAGACAGAAGGTGACATTTGCAAGTTAGCGAGTTTTTCTGCATCAGTTAAAGCAGGGGAGTCGTCACCTGCGCATACATCAGATGGCCATAGCGTGTCATTGTTTACAAACAAGCGTCTGTCCATGACTCATGAGCCTTTGTGTTTTTAGCATGTGTTGTTATTGTCACTTGGGACTCAATTCCAACGTATGCGCAGGCAACGATTCTCTCGCTTTAATATCAGGAAGTGATAGAATTGACACACCTAGGGTACACTGACTAAGTATAAACACAGGTCGTTTTGATTGTTTGTTTTTAAGTTACAATTTATGAAAATGATTACATTAGGATTCACAAGCTTGTAATGATCATAAATACTACTAGTATGTAAATAATTCACTGGTGACAAAAAGCAGTTACTCTAATTTAGTTTACTTTTATTGATATATAAAGGAATGACCAAGTTTCTTTACGAATAATTCACCGGGATCCCTTTAAAACACTTGCGGTGTAGTTTTTTGTACGCACTATTATTTAAATGTTGCAAAATTGCTATGGTGTTCGGAAAAGATGCAGTTTGTATGTCTCATCCAAGGGATCATGACATTGAGATTGCAAGTCAACCTGTTGTTCAGTGCTTCCGGGATTAAGTAGATATAGTTTAACAGTCCCTCAAATTTTTTAGAAATGTTATTTTTTATTGAAGCACTCAGTGCTCTTGATTTTAGAAAACTAATTTTGGTGGAGGAAGATTATGTTGTCTTTGACAACAGGGATTTCACCATGGTCACTTCGCTAAGCCTGCAATCCGGGAAATGATTCACAAACAAGAGTACTATTCTGTCAGAGATTTTTTTAAACAAGAGAACAGGGACATAGCACCCTCATGCCATGGTCATGCATCCCCTTACCCTGGGGAGCAGATCCTCTGTCAACCATAAAATTCTGATTGACCAGGGATCACATGTGGCCACAGTCTTCAACTGTGACCTGTCTGTCTGATAGTAATTTTGGCTCCAAGGAAGCCATAGAATGCTCCATTTTAACTTAGAATTATCAAAAACTCCACACCCTGGTAGGGAGAACCCTATCTTCCCCACTTGGTGGCACCACTGAATTGCAGTGCTCCCTCTTGCGCTTTTTTTTCTTAGAAAAACCCCTGCTGAGTAATACATGAATTTCATTTTAAATAAATATCCCTCCATGTTTCAGGTCGATTGAATTATGACACCTGTAGTTTATCAAATGTAATAAAGGTGTTAAAATAAACATATAAAGTTAGATATTTAAAATCTACTACAATACAGTTACATGGAATAATGTAAAAAAAATAATATTAATGACCCATTAGGTGGTTTTCTCTAATGTTATTTGCTGTTTTTATAAATATGATGAGCTCTGTTAGTAAATATTTGTTGTTTGTATTCAATATATGAATGAATTTTTCTTTGTTTGTACAGTGTTGAAAATTGTTAATTTTCTTTGAAAAATGTGAACAGCTCTCTTTCATCTGTGTAAAGTTTACATTTTGTGATGTTATTAATTTCATCCTCAAGTAGGTTGCATTTAGTACATTTTCTGTCTTCTGTTTTTATTTTTGGTCTTTTGTGCCTTCCCATCTTCCCATTAGTTTATGGGCACTCAGTTTCAATTTTCCTAATAGACCAATGTTTCTTTATTATCAAGGATTTTAATGTATGGTTCAGTATTTATATTTTTCTTCAGTAATGTATAAGTTATTAGTTTTGAATCTGGTCTTTGATTATCTTGGTTCCATTTATAATTGTAATATTCATTCACTTTTTGTTTAAACTGGTCTTTCTTAATTTTTTCTAAATTCTTGATATCATACAGTTGTTTTATTTTATGCAGATTCATTAACCAACGCCTAAACACACTGGTATCTGATGTCTATTTCGGTGACTACAGAATAGGATAGACTTTTTTATTAATTAAAACTGTGAAGATAAAGTGACATTTCTTTTTGTAAATATGTTAATGAAGGTTTTAATAATTTTACATGCATATTTTACAATGAGTTCCTAGTGTTGAAACACTTTTCAATGTACAATATATGCTTTCTTTGACTAATATAGTTTTTTGGTTCAAAACTGATAACAATCACGGCAATGTTTGTAAATTCGCTAGTAACTTATTAAACCAATATATGAACAAAGAAAACTGTAATATTTGTGAATCAAAATTTTTATTTGTGGGACAAAGTTCATTCAATGATTGTATTGTGTAGTCTTAAGACCATCTTGTGTTTATTAATTGTATATTCTATTAAGTAAGCACACTGTGCATTTCATGAAGGTATGAATTTGTGGTAAGAGTTCCTTAGGGCCCCCTCACCCATAACTCTAATCCTAACCCCTCCAGTACTCCTCCTCCATTTCAATTGTATATGCCACTCTTTGGATCACTTATAATTATTTGGAGAGACAAATTGAATTACATTGGGGGGGGGGTGTTAGGGTTCGGGTTCAGGTTATGGGTTAGAGGCCTTAAGAAACTCTTTTCGAATTTGTTTTTCTATAAACATATTATAAATTTATAAATGTTTACAAAAATAGACCAATCAGTTTAGTGAGGATGCATGACTGTGAATCGACCAATGACTCAGAGAAACCTGCAAAGAATTATGGGTAATGGGCATTACCAAATAACTTCTGCAACCAATGGAAGCATCTTTGGATTTGAATGTTAATTAATTTGCGTAACATCTTCTGGTGTAAATGTTCTATTAATTAATGTCCATAAAATAAAATAATACCTTCAGGAAATTAATAGCATGCAAATAAATAAATAAGTAAATTAAAAAACAAAACAGTAGACTTGGTAGTTGGATTTTCCTGACTTGACAAAAAAAAATGTTTTCCCACCCCCCACGAGTTTGCAATGGTCAATCCCTGAGACACAAGATTAAAACATACCGGTAGTTCACGATTCAAAATAAGAACGTTAATTTTATTATTATGTGTTACTGCGGTCATATCACGGCAATCACCTCAATGCAACACATGTTAATCAGGTAAGTCAATTAAGTTAGTTTACTTTTTCGACCACTACAGTGACCAAGGGTCATTCCAGTTTTTGTCCACCCCCCCCCCCTATGGATGGGTTAAATCTGAGGGGTCATATTTCTACAAAAAGTATGGATGGTCCAATTCCGATTTTCCGGTCCAATTTTTTGACCATTTTTTTCTCTATATCCACACCCCTACAGATGATTTAATTCCGAGGGGGGTCATATTTTTGATATGTGGCTGTACCCCTGCTCGCAAACTGTTTTAACCCAAGAAAATCTATTTATTATTCTACGACTGTGCCGATCAAGCCCACACAAACATATCAGTCGCAACTTAGAATAAAGAATAAACCAATGTGTTGGGGCAAATAATTCATGTGTATACTTGATACATTCATTTAAAAGAGTCTGACTTACTTGTACATTTCAGTTGTTCTCAAATTTCATTGGCATCCATGAACTGGAATAGTTCACATTATAAATTAAAATAAACTCAACTCGACATGTGGCTATTACATCGGACATTACAACACTTGTATACATTTTATTTATAATATTTGAAATCTCTGTATTTTACTGGCTGGCATAATTAGAAAGCTTCGCCTTCATTCCCATTATTCCAACTCTATTTTATTCACACGCGCAAGTCTGGTTTGCGCGCAGGTTATCATTAGAATGCCATGCACAAGTCTGATTTGGCCGGCGTACGCGCAAGTGGCATATATACAAAACTGCATTTCACCTTTTCCATAGGCAACTACCCTGTAGAGGCACCCTTACATATGCAGTCGTGTATGGTAGGCTCGCACGGCAATTCACATTTATTGTCAAGACCATGAATGAACACAAAAGACTGGGAAATTACAAGGATCACAAAAATTTCCAATGGAAAATTAAATAAATTTGGCTTAGTCAAAAGCTTGGAAACTAGTCTATAATAGTTGGCAGAAGAACATTTGTTTTATTTGCCTGAGCCTTGGAATGAAAGTCGTACATAATATAAAATATGATTTTGTGAATATACATCATGCATGGTCTCAGATAATGTTTAGAAAGTTTAATGTTTAATCACACAAAGTATAAATTCAAAGTGTTTTAATACATTGGTGAGAGGTCGCATTTTACGTGAACAAGAACATGCATTTAGAAAAAAAAGCCGAAGTCAAAATTGTGTACAACATATGCCGCGACAACTGAGTGATCAGCGACATAATTTTTGGGCGCAATTGAATTCAAGTACTTCTTTGCGAAACTTGCTGCGCTGCGATGCTGACATCAAGTGTATGTTGACCAAAGTTTGGCACGTTACCTTAGCAACCCTTTTCGTTCTTGCCTCGTGTGTCGTTCTTGTAAAATTGTTATGATATCCGACGGTACTGTAATTACGCAACTTGTACACAACTCTGTACTGGCTTTTCTAATTACGCAATTTTGTTTACAATATTGTATCGGCTCTGAATATTTCAACATTGTAATTGCTTTCATAATAATTACGCAAACTCAAGTTATTTTTACAATTGTTAGGGTACTGACCCGGAGTATTGGGTCTGTGAGTATCTCAATATTACCGACTTGATAATGTTGCATTCGTAATAATTACGCAAACTTACACATGTGCGCATTTAAATCATTGAAAAAGATAGTAGTCAGGTGTCTACCGAATGTCGGGAAAATATTTTAAATACTTCATTGATGTTCCTATTGTGAATTATTTTATTCGAAATGAAGTGAATATGCATTTAAACCATACAATAACATACCATATCATGCGCAATGTTTAAATTTTCTATAATAAAATAAACTCTGGGCATCGCACTTCGATTACATTATTCATGTACATTTCAACTGATAACCACATGTTTGAATTACATGCAACGATGGGCAATGACCTCCAGAGTTCATGCACTGACATTTAAAGAGGGAGAATTGTCATATACGCATGCGTTCATAGTGTGTCTACCCACGCCTACCCTTAGCTGAAGTTGACAATACATACATTATGTATTAATTGGTTAACTTGTGTCTTTTGTCACACCAAAATGGTGCAATATTTCAGGGCAAAAGTATTGAGGACTGTTCACAATTATAATTATCAAACTTTTGACATATCATATGAACATTTAGGTTTTAAAGTTGTATTATATTTTAATTTTTGTTGAAAATTGATCATTTCCTCTTTTCAGAAATATGTTTTACTATACAGCATACATTATAAGGCCTGGAACCAGTTGGTTCGAGTTTTCAACAACTTAGGGAGTCTCAATTCAACATTGTAAATAAACTATTAAATTTTGTACTGCTGGCATGTTCTACTGTTATCACAAAACTTTTTCGCTAAGTTTCGCTTAGTTTACGCTTTTAATGTGCAGCCAGACTCCACAGGCCAATGTTGGTAAGTTACTCACTGTTGCATCATGGGATTTAAGTTGTTTTCCTAACTTAAATAAATTTTTCAGGCAAAACCCATAGATGTTGTCCTGGATTTTGTTTTTGGATTCAGTTAAGGGGTCAAATTAACTTATTTACAAAGGGCTTTCAACTAAATATAAAACATAATATATACAACTTTAAATTAATGTTTTTGTGACATTAAATCCAAAGCAGTAAACCTGTGTGTATTAAAGTTTTACCAATAGTCATTAGACCTTGCTTGCTTTTATGTATAAAACAAATTGTGAGCAATAAAAAAATGTTATTATATAACACTACATGTATATATGCATTCTAGATGTATATTTTTGCATTTACACTGAGCACCATATTGCTTCATACATATGATTTGTGAATCAGTCTGCAAATTACCTGACCATTCAGTTGAACGTACTTCTACATTGCAATTAGTAGAGACATATCACAATAAAAAAAATCAACACCAATGACAAAAGTCATTCAACTAATTTTCGGGACAATTTGCAAATCAGGTGCACAAAACAATGTGGGACACACACATCCCTCAAGATGACGTCATAATATTATGACATCACTCTAGTTGTGCACCCCCCCCCCCTCCAAAAAAATGATTGACTCCTTCCAACTGCACTGCTCTTCGCAACATACAGGTACCATCCCAATTCATCAATTTCTTTTTTATAATTAGAAGACCCAAGTAGGCCACTTGCAAGTCACACTGCTTTTTTCCGAGGGGTTCTGTTTTTGTGTGTATCCGAGGGGTATAATTTGTTCACATACCCATCCGTATACGTCAAATCAGTAGTTTCCAGGGGGTGTGTTAGTTAACAAAAATCCGACACCTAAATAGTGGGTTTGAATCCATAGGGTGTCATAACCTTAATATCCATCCGTAGGGGAGGGGGTGGATAAAAACTGGAATGACCCCCAACCCCCGTCGCTGACCGGCTTCATTCTCCTGCACAGATGATGCCGAGCTTGACAACTGGCACAAAAATCAATTATATTAAAACATCTATGTGGAGACTCGTCTCACATGTGCTGCATATACTTACTGAAAAACTCCGTGACCATTTCGGCCGAACCTTTTAGCGTGATGCTGTTTTTTGTTGCCTGTTTCGTAGCCGCCATTTTTTTGTATTTGTGTCAACGGTTTGTAACAGCTATTTTGATTGGTAGTTGGACTCACTCTGGCGCTGTTTTCATTACGGGTGACTCCATTGGTTAGCATGCTTTTCAATTCAAGCAGGGCTGATTGTTGTGCATTGTAACTATTATGATATACATTACCAGGATACGGTCTTCATAAACTACGACCGCGTAAAATAATAATAATGTTATAATATTTATTAACAATATTTTTTCATCGCAACTGTATTGGTGTTTTGAAAACGGCATTTTTGAGTCAACTTCTCTTTATATTTACATTTGAGATTTTACTGGTTATATTTCAGTTCTGATGGGGTGAGGGGTTGCTAGATAGAATTGTTTTCTTTCCTCATGGCGCGTAGCGGGACGATGAATCAGTTGCGGGGGCGTCCAAAATCAAGCTGAAGCCCCTTGTGTCCACAAAATTTGCCCCTCAAAACAAAATGCAGGAGATAGCGTTTCAGAGGGTCGAGATTTCCAAATTTTCAAGAGGGGCATGCCCCGGACCCCCTAGTAAGGTCGTGCTTTTGGCCAAGATTTGGCCCAAGGTTGGACAGCAGACCCCCCCCCCCACCCCCATGCAAAATTTCCAGCCGCCGCCTCTGTGAAATTTCAACGCACATCGCCCTCTAGTGACTGGTTGCTTCAGTTTTGTTGTCCGACGACGGAAGTCATGATGCATTTATAGTTTAAAAGTCTGTTCGTTCATTTTGACAAGTTGGCTATTTGCTCGCGGCGTGCAAATAGAAACTGCGTTTTTAAATATGAAATGGTCCAACTGTTTTAGCGCATTGATTATTCGCTGATTTGTTGCTAAATTCCGTCAGCACTGATACATCAGTGAGTGTCAAACCCAGTGATATATGATCTACACAATATCAAAATAGTGATTTTCACAGTATTTGAAACCGAAGTTGGTTATTTTTGATTGTTTAGAAATATATTTTTTGTTGTATAGACTTTTGTTAAACATTCAGTTGACAATCTTTTTAGACCGAAGTTATTTTCGCCGCTATCACAGTTGCTATAAAGAGACCGTATCCTTAATTATATTTCAGCACATTATTCTACGTATGTTTGTTTCATCTGTGCTCTGTATAGTGCTGTTTTGGCCAATCTTTTATTTTTGTTGGCCACAAGAAGCAGAATCGTGATCTCCCGAGACGATTTCCTACGATTGAGTCAGCAATTTCTATTAACCAATCAGAGCTCCTGCTGATGACGTCGTTTTTGTATTTATAGCAACGGATGACGTCATGGCAGATATAAATATACGATGTTGTCGCACAACAATCAGATCTCTTCGAGCTTCGAGCGGTCTCATTCTCGGCCTGTTTTCAGTGTGTTACATTTGTAGAAATGGCAGACTGGAAATGGGTGTTGTCTCATCTTAACAAAAATCCGCCCTTCAGGTAACGCTTACTTCGTAAACTCGTAATGTTTCGCCATTACGAACTCACTACCGGTTCTAGGGGCGAATAACTCTATAGCGACCTCGCTATCACTGCTCGGCAGTGCTTTGAGGATGGGTATTCGATCCCGGGAGCCACCGCGCTAGACAAGTGATAGTTACAAGGATATCCAGTATATACACCTTGGCTATCTTGTATATCGTGGTGGATTTCGGGACATAAACACGTGACGCAGCAGAGTTTTAAGACGTATCGGCGGTGTGTACGTACTAATTGTATTTTGTAGAAAGGTCGTGATATGACCTTCGTTTTAGAGCATTGCATTGTGTGACTTTTGTTTACGTCTCAACCACGGAAATCAGGCTGTCTAATAGTATTTCTGCTGGAGCCTCATATCTAAACGTAC